GCTGTAGGCTGTACCCCTGTTTCTATGGCCTCCAGAGGAGCTGAGATGGAAATAAAAGAACAAGCATGTGCTGTTCCCTAACAAAATTAACATCAGAGAACTTTACAAATTAGGAGCATCTGATTAAAATACTAGTTGTGTGACAAATTTCTGAGAAAATATTTGTTTTAAGCAAATTATTATATTCACACTTATCAATTTCTTTTTCTTGCTACCTTATTTACACTTTGCTCCTTCTATTTGTGGTTGACAGGTGTTACTTGTTTCTTTAAACTGATGTCTATGGTAGTGTTACTAAAAATCCCAAAAGATATTTATTAGATTTCTAGGAAGATGATGAGGATGATAAACAATATATGGAAAATAGTTATTCCATAGTAGGGACTCAGAAACAAATGAATGAATAATAATGGCCACCATTTATTAATGGAAACTACTAGTATCTAGCCTCATGCTAAATATAGTTCCTGGATCCCAAAACTTTACATATGTTTCCCTGATCCTAAAAACAACCCCAGCAAGGTATTATTATTTCCTTATAAAGATAAGGTGACTTGGTTTAGAGCCATCTTATGATGTTCCAAGGATATCCTCTCTAGTAAGTGGTAGATCTGAGAGTTTAATCTATTATATCCATCATCTTGTACACATGCACTCAATTGGTATGCTGTACTATTCCTGTAGGGGTGAGGGAAAAAAGGATGGGGGAGTAAAGAAAAGAGAGAGGAAGGAGAAAGGGAGATAGGAGAGATAAGAGAGCAAGAAAAAAATAAGAGGGATGGTGAGAAAAAAAAGGAAACCTTAAAAGTCATGATAAAAGTTGTCAAGTTCCACAGAGCATATGCAGACAAAATAGCCCCTCTTATGTGGAAAACAATGTATTATGCGTTGGCAAGGGATGCCAAGTTATTTTGGGCACAAGGTACAAACAGGAAGTATTTCCATGAAGAATTCTCATTTCAAAGTTAGTTCACAGGCTAATACACAGGAATGTGAGTTAGTCCTTCCACAAGAACAGGAATTTGGGTGAAAAGTGTTTGGAATTGGAAAATTTACCAGTAGGAAGGATCTGATAAGTGACTTAACCAGTCATCTGAGCTGTTAGATGGTCATTCATCAGGGTTTTCACCAACTTGTGGGGTATCAGGTGGTATACAGCTCTCCGGGTACCCCTAGCCTGGTCAAACCTTGTCCTGGTGGCCCATTCTTCCAGTCATATGTTCCCCAAGATACAGAGACCTCTCTGAAGGAAAAATAGCTAGAATGAAGGCAAAACATGCATTTGGAATTGGCCACTTCGTACCAGGAAAACCAACTACAAAAACTTTGAGGAAGCAGCTAAAGGTGCCTAAGAGTCTTTTATTAGCCTTCCAAGGCTGCTTAGGGCTTAGCAGGAGAGATCACAATTCTAAAAGATCCAAGTCCCTTAAAGATGTAACAGCTGCAAGAAAACAAGCTTTGAGAATAATAAAGCTTTCAGGGAGAGCCCTTACATGGCAGTGGGGTTATGGAAGATTTAATTCCCACTGGACTGACTGACCAGAAACAATGATAGGGCTTTGAAATCAATCCTGTGATTAGATAGCATTTTTATTTCCTTCTCTTAGAAAACATGTATTGAAAATTAAAGTCAGCCTTGCCCTACATTCATATAAGAATAACTGGACACAATAAAATAAGATCTAGAAAGTGCTATTGAGCTTTTCTGCTTTTAATCCAGCCAGGATTCACTTTCCAGAGCCTGTGACGCTGACTGGACAAACACAAGGGCATGGCACATTGGCAGCTATGGTTTACTTGTGTGTTTGTGGTCTCAAGAACCAATGAGGGAGAGATATATGCTTACCACTGTTACAAGTGGAGCTAGCTTGCAGGCAATCTGTGCTTGGTCAGATTCTTCCCTCCCCAAAAGATCTGCCTTTATTAGTACAGATTAGGCCGTGCTGTTCCTGCCTCTTTTCTTCTTTTTCATGATTATGGACTTCTAGAGACATTCGCATCTACAAACGCAAACTCTCTCTTGCATACTTTAAAAACAGCAGTAAGGCCTTAGTTTGGGGTGTTACTTTTCAACTCAATATTTTTAAAGGGAACAATTCCAAGAGATATTTCACTAACGAATAAGAGGGTTAGTTCACCCAATCCAGAAAACCAAGTCTCACATCTTGAAATACTATGGATGTTAAAGAAAATGAAGTGTGAACTTCTGTGGGTGGACAGAGGAGGGGTGCTGTACATTTACAATGATCTGAGCAGTTGTTTGGATACAAAGAACAGAGAGGTTTTATGAGCCATCTCTATACCCTTACTGGTAAGTGGTGACAGCAGAGGTAAACTGAGTAAATCACAGAGAGTAGCCCCAGCCATGAACAAGCAATGCATGGTGGAGGCATTTAATGCTAATGATCAAAAGGTCCGTGCATAGGTCACCAATGAATACAGATTCCCTTTCGTTAGAAATGAAGTGATGTCACAATAACTGTTAACAGCCAAGTAATTATACCAGAGGGGAAATCGTTGTGCCAATTTCTTCAGATTTTTATTTTTCCAATATGGGGAAAGGTTAGACTCTCTCCTAGAATACTTAAAAAAAAAAAAACAGGGCTTCTTTTCTGCTGCCCACAGTTTGAGGCCAGATCACCAGAAGCATTTTTTCATACCTTAAATTTCCCACAGATGTACACACGTGCATATGCACCAACTTATTGCTCTTATCCTTAACTACTTTTCTAGCCTTGAAAATATGACACTTTTATCTTTTATCCTAATTCCAGTGTGATATAGATTTTCCAAGATCTGATTTCTTAAACTGATGGCAATTTTTTGAATGGTTAAAAAACTCCAAATAATGATGGATCCCTAGCTCTTTGCTTTTGAGAACTTAAGTAATTTAATGAGGGCGAATTTTTTTTTCTAACTTTTATGGCCAGGTGGCTCTAGGGGATATTTTGTTGAAGACTGATTAAAAATAATTTCTTCTAAATGAGACCTGACCACAAAATGGAACCATTAATAGGCAGGGACGTTGTCACCAAAGCGGAAACCATGCCTGATTGCCTCCTGTACCTCCCACCACACAAGCCTTTACTTCTTTTTCTTCTCCTTTTCTTGTTCTTAATAGCTGAGTAAATAAGCAGCCAGCGAGGCCTAAATGTTTTTGGCCAAAAACAGAGTCCAAACTTCTCAGAGAAAACATTTGGCCTCTGTGGTTTTGAAATATGTTCCAGAACACTGAGTTCAGTGAGTAACATTGTGAAAAACTCCCATCCATTGGAATGATGCTGGGGAATGTTACAGTATCACAAGTTTCAATTGGTCCTTTTCCTGCAGCCCCATAATGAGACTTGTAAAAAACACACACACACACACACACACACACACACACACACACACACACACACACACACACACCACGCACTGCTATGTGGAAGTTCTCATGGGAAAAATGAATGGCAAGAAATCCTAGCTTTAAAAGAAACAGCTAATCTGCTAGTTTGATTGTTCTTCAAAACTTACGCTGAACCAATGAGCCTAATTAAAAACACTTGGCCTACTTCTATAAAGCATCATAGCTTTCTCTATGCTTCGTTTGTATACACCACAAACCTCCAGATAGACTATTATTTTTTCAAGTGCTCACTAACAAAGTGCTGACTTTGTTGGGATGGCTGAGCTAATTTCTTGAACTCAGTGTGAAACCTTAGCTAAACAAAATTGTGGTAATTTTCCTTAATTTGTAAAAGTGATTGGAGTGCAAACAAAATTTTCCTCTTGGGTCAATCCTATAATTTTCAATTAACTAAAACTAATCGTCAGGCAGGCACCAAACCTGCATTTTGTTTAAAGGCCTGGGAGGCATTTCCAAGGGTCAGGATGCATTAATTGTTTTTATAATTTCAAGAGAGAGAGAAAAAATGGGTGACTAAGAAGTATGTTTGGTTTTACTCCTAATATTGAAATACAAGGGAAAGATGCTTTGAAGTAAAATGTCACAGAAAAGTAAAATTTGTCCATTTAATTGTATGGTTATAATTATGATTTGTTAACAGTTATCCTTTCACTTCTCTGTTATCTCTTTGTGTGAAAGCAACTTCCGCTCTGTACTTATTCTGGCCTTGCGGTCTCTTACTGAATGGAAAAGGAGACCTGGAACCAGTTCATGGAGACAGCTACCATTACCCAGGGCTGACTGACGCTAAGCAGAGGGCCCAGAACTGCACTCCAAGTGTGGTTCTTTGCCAGCAGCATCAGCCTCACCTGGGAACTCTTAAGCAACACAAAATCACAGGTTCTACCTAGACCTGCTATAGCAGAATGTGAATTGTAAAAGATCCCTGCATGTTTGGTTTGCACATCACAATCTAGGGATCTCTTAAAGTCCACATTGGGCACTCAGCCTCTGTGCTTGATGTAATTCCACAGAGATGCTGCCTGGTTCTCTCCATCTGATAGGAGGGAATTCACATTCACTCTGGAACCCTAGTTTCTTGTCACAAGGCAGATCCATGTGCCAAGACTGTTTTGGGAGGACAAAAATGCAGCGTACTTGGAAAGAAGGCATCAGGCCAGAATTAAATATAAAAACTTCCAATTGTGTGTAATTCGAATGCTGTGAACAGGTTAGAGGAAAGACGCACTGTTCATGAAAGCACAACCCTACTCCATAAAGCAAACGAACCCTAACAAGGTGGCTTAACATCCAGAAACTCCAGATTGTCTACACCTCTTTCCCCTTCTCTCATTTTTCATGTTACATCTTTAAGTATCCAACCAGTTATTTCAACAGATCCTGCCATTCAGCATGGAAACCCAGATGAATTCTTAATAATAATACAATAATAAAAGCACCATGTTTGGTCATACATATGGTAAAATGAAGAAAGCAAGTAGGCTTTAATTAGATTTTAAAATAAAATATATGGTTTTATACATAACAGATAATGGAAAAGACCACACGAGACCAAGGCAGTTCTGTGCTCACCATCTGTAGCAGTTCTTACCTGTGTAAATGAATCTGCCTGGTGTTCCTTTGCAGAACTGCTTCGATTTGTAGGACAGTGTGACTTCCACAACACCAGGGATGTGCCGAGGAGGGGTCTGCACACGGATGGCATGAGGAGTGATCAACTGGAAGAGACATTTGGAGGGAAAAATTGTCATTGCAATATTTAAAACTTCACAGCTCTCCATAAACAAAGCTTTAAAACACATAATTAACTTGTCTACGTTTAAATCCAATCTTGATGGAACCTGCATGAAAGACACTGATGACAATATTTACAAATGCTGTGAGTACAGCCATAACAACATTATCTGCATTTTCCTACATGGCAGGCCTTCTGCTTCCTGGTTTGAATAGGGAACCTGGCCTAATGAAATGATTTATCTACTACAGGATATCCTTTGGAAAATCTCTGAAGCAGACACCCAAATGAGAGCTGAGCTCTGCCATGCCTCTCCAGAAGTTGATGGGCCTGGTGTTTGAGCTGAGCCCATCAACATGTGGAAAACACAGAGGTAGGGAAACAGTAGGCCAAGACCTCTGATTAGCTGCAGAGTGCACGTATGAAGTACCCTGTAGACCGTTTGGTGTATTAACTACCAGAGGCACAATCAAAGAGCTTTAAGGGGAAAGCAAAGAATCTGCCTCACTGGAATAGCTTATGGATCTGGCAGAAATCAGGAGTCTCCATAAAAGGGAAGTGGAAGGCTGGGGAGGTTGCAGAATGATCACTGGTCCATTATGCAATGCCACGTGCACAATGAGAAAGTTCATTTCTGAATTCTGTTGGCAATCAGATTACACCATGAAGCAGAATTTATGTTTTATTACTCTTATCTTTGTTTACATAACTAAAATATTATTAATGGCCATAAAACTGGCATTATCTGTGTCTTTGAAAAATCCAGCCCTGGTATTTGACTGGTTGACCTCTGATGGTGCTGGATTCTACATGTTCTCTTTCTATGGGATTCTGCAATTGTCTACTCTGACTCCTTTCAGATGCAGTTAGCTCAACATTTGTGGTGTTGAGTCCACTATATACAGTGGAAAATTTATACAGTGTACACAAGTTTAACATGTTTGTGCTGTTCTCATGGGGATAACTTAGAAAGGGCTCTTATTTCAATGTGCAAACGCGGCCCAGTTCAAGTGTTTTCCCCAGAGAATCACAGATAACACCATGAGAGGCTGGATACAGCCCATGGGTCCCTCCACTGAGTAAACCATTCTAACACTAAGCCCTATGGAGAATAATTTGAGAAAGTTGCTGCTGCTATAGGACAAATAATTTCTATCAAATGCTCCCTCTTGAAACAAAGAAAAAGTCATCTGCATAGAAACCATGTTAAATTAAGCAATTACAAATGCCTTATCCTCTTCCATAGACTATATGGAGCCTTAGATTATTTGCTGAAGATGCACAAAAGATATTTCAGTAAGACCATGTTTATGTGGAACCCCTGAAGACTGAGTTCATCTCCATGGCTTAGTGTTTTCAGTGGCTAAGGTTCTACCCATCAAAACACATGCAAAAAGTTTCTTAAAGTTGTATTCTACACAGGAACAGAAAACCAAATACCACATGTTCTCACATATAAGTAGGAGCTAAGCACTGGGTACTCATAGACATCAACATGGCAACTACAGACATTGGGGACTCTAGAGTGGGGAGGGAAGGAAGGGAGTGAAGATTGAAAAACTCTATCTGTACATTGCTCACTACCTGGATGGCAGGGTCATTCATATCTCAAACCTCAGCATCAATATAGCCACACAACGAACCTGCACATGTACCCCTAAATCTAAAGTAAAAGTTAAAATTATAAAAAAAGTTCTATTCATATTGTTGATTCTTCCAAAATGCATGGTATGCTTTTAAAATAAGCAAAACATATATAATTTAACTTACCCTTGGTAAATCAAGATCATCATTTGGAATATTCTTGCTATAATATAAAAAAAAGCCCTAAATGACTATTGAGGTATGATATCCCTGTACTGAATGGCTCCAGGTTTCTAAGATTTTGAAATTATTTCTATTTTACTCTGCTTCTTTGCCTTTTTCTTCCTATTGTTCTTAGCACCTTCTAATTTGCTCTTGTAATCTGTAAGCATGGAAATCAGGAAATTGAGTTTCATACTACAGAGACAATAAGAGGAGGAGGCGGCTCTGAAAGCAGTGAAAGATGATCTTCCCCAAAGCAAGATCGTGGTCATCTCAATTGTTCAGACACTGTTACTGCAATGTTTGGAACTAACACTTTTTGAGTACCCAGGAGGAATCTACCATGTTGCTGGATATTTTACATATAAACACCAATTTGGTGAGAACAATGGCTGTATTTTTATCCTTCTTTTCAGATGAGAAAATCTTAAAATGAAGTTGCTTGCATAGGGAACTTGACCCTTTTCACAGCAAGGTAGAGCAAAATGTGACACTGATGCAGTTAAGAAAAGTGACAGGGCAAATACTTCCTTTGTAATCATAGAGAAGAGATTGTTCATATGGAAGCTTTTTAAAGGTAGTAACAAACTCATTTTTTTTTCTGATCTAAATACTTTGTGTGTGTGTTTTCTGTACCCATGCTATCTCCACTTTTCATTTATTGCCTGGTCCTTTGCTGTGTTTTTGGTAGTGAAGGACGGTCCATGTTGTTGTATCCCAAATACAAGGTATGCTTCTAATTTTAACACATACTTGGGATATAGAGTACCATCAACTCACAATAATACTTAGAAGAACTTTCAGCCAGTTAGAAAACACTTCACCTGCTCTCAGGGGAAATACATTTTAAAAGATGGAAAGATATTAGTAAATAGATGAATGAAGATTCTTTTTAAGTATAGGGACTTAATATGTATGAGTTGCTATATTGAGAAACAAAATTCATGGGCTTTATAAATTGATTAGATATGACTGCAATAAAACTACAGACTGAGAGTGGCGCTTTAGCATAAAGCATTAGGCGCAGGAAATGCAAACAAATTTTCATTTACAATTTCATTTTCAATTTTAATTAATTGTCCTAACTAAAGCAGAGATTCTTTCTAAACAACAATCCTTCACAGATGAGGTAGAATCTGAATCATAATTAGAGAATAAATTTGTTGATGTTTTCCTAGCTGTGAATGTTAGTCTGAAAAGAGTCTTTAGCATTGACACATGATATTGATGTTTACGGAGGAAAAACATTTTAGCTAACTTTGATCAATTTGAAAGCACAGGCTTATTTACTAATCACTCAAAGAACTGTAGAATGTATTGCTGGAAGGAATGTTAGTGATAGTTGAAAGCTAATCTTCTCATTTTGACAGCTAAGGACACAGAAATCTAGGAATGTTTAGTGGCTCCAAAAATTGACCCAACATCCTAGAGGAAGGACAGTGTCTAGATCTAGGGTGTAGAACTCAGGATCCACAAATTACAAAATAAGTTTCACACATTGTTTCCGCCTGGCTGATCTAAAGGCAGCCACTCAAAGCAACAGAAGGAGGGAGGGCTAGTTTAAATTTTTCAAATGTCCATCATTGGAATGTTACTTTCTTAGTTTTGTCATATCTACACACCACCAATACAATTACATACTTAATATTTCTAAAACTGATTATCTTTTTGTTTAAAAAACTTGTTTTAAAAGAAATCTTTATGTCACTACCATAATTGAAAAACTGGTTTCAACTGCTAAAATAAGAAGACATTGTACATAGTAATCTTGAAGTTAATATGATGTAAATTCTAGCTGGATATTGTTGACAACCTGAAGGAGTTTATTGAAAAGGGTGATTAGCTAGTGTTAGATGTTAAAGGCTTCTTTGTCCTGAGACTTTATCCCTTTAATAAAAATCAGAATTATGAAATTTTAAAAAAAGATTAAAAGAGAAACAAAAGGAGTGATTGAAAGAGAAACCAAAAGGAGACTAACTTTCTCATAGTGTGATTCAGTTCTACTTTATGTCTGTGTCAAATCTAAAATTGTCTCTTGTATTACCCGGGGCACATGCCCTATTACCTTGGTAAATACTGTTCTAAGTGATTGAAGAACAGATTCATTCTTTTTTTTTTTAATTTATTTTATTGCATTTTAGGTTTTGGGGTACATGTGGAGAACATGCAAGATTGTTGCATAGGTACACACGTGGCAGTGTGATTTGCTGCCTTCCTCCCCCCATCACCTATATCTGGCATCTCTCCCCTTGCTATCTCTCCCCAACTCCCTACCCCCCACCGTCCCTCCCCTATTTCCCCTCAACAGACCCCAGTGTGTAGTGCTCCCCTCCCTGTGTCCATGTGTTCTAATTAGAACAGATTCATTCTTTGACTTAACTTCCTTAAATTACAAACTAAACAATTTAGGCTAGAAATATTCCTCTGAAACTCTGTAGCATCTGACACTACTCTTCCTTGGAACTCTCCATTTTCTTCACTTATGGGACACTAATCATAAGACTTAAGACTTGCAAACTGTCTAATGGTTTAGCAAGGCATTTTCATATCCACTCATTTTTAAAACTCATCTTTATGGTTTATGTGTTTCAGATGAGGAAAGTTGATGGTCAGGCAAGTTAACTAATATTAATTGAAACACTAGGATGAAAACCAATCTCTTATACATGTAAATAAGTATTTTCCAGATATTTTCTCTTATTCATTGATTCTGGATTATTTTGGTTTTCTTCATTTGCCCCATTTTTCTGTCAACTTGTTAACTGTAGAAATTTCACAAGTTTTGTCCCTTTTTTTCTCTCTATTTGCCTAGCACTTATTGATTTCACCCATTAGCTCAACCACCTCAGCTAAACTGATTTCCAAATCGACACCTGTAGACTTGATCTCTTTGGCCAAGCACCAAACTTGTATGAGCAACAGAGTAACAGAATCTCCCCAAACAAGTCTTCTTGCCATCTCAATCTCAACATGACCCAAGCCAAATTTATCGTCTTACTACCTCTAAACGTATTTCTTGTTCCTGTGTCCCCTGTCTCAGTTAAAGGAGTGTTAGCCTTTGAATTACCCAAAATAGAAAACTCGAGGTTATCATTATTCCTTTTTCTTCCTTTATTTTTCTTAAGTCGTACTGATTTTGCCCTTTAACTGGACCCACTGGCTCTTCTCTGCTTCTCT